GTACTCGTCATGGCTTGGATGGTCGATATCAAAGAATTCGTCGTCGTGTAGACTCGCAATCTGTGCGATGAACGAGTCGGAAAAGGGCTCATCAGGGTCAAGGTTGTACCGCCGGAATATTCGTAGATAGTCCAGCTTCTCAGCTGCCATGACCGATAAGAATCTGTGATACAGGAACAGCTGCACCTTGGCCGGCCTCAGCTGCGCCGCGTTGGCCGTGCTGCGCTTGCCCCGAGTCTTGACATCGGTGAGGTAGATTTGCGGTATTCTCTGCATGCCAGGTTTCTGTGACGCAAAGTAGTCGGTGATGCTAGGCTGCGACTCTTGGCTTTTTCGTAGCTCGGCCTCAAACTCTGGGTCAGGGTGATCGTAACTCAGGCCATCAATGACGCCATTGACGAGGTTACCGTCCACAAAACCCCAGACCTCGAGCTCACGCGTCAGGCCCGTGTCGCGCAGCGTTCTGAGGCCCTGTATCAAGTTCCACACCTTCAGACCGAACGCATCCTCTTTGCTCACAACCTCAACACGGACCGTTGTATGCACTTCATCCTCGAGCTCCTTGTGTAGCTTGGTGCCCTCCTTCATAGCCACGGTCCGGGTCTTTCTGCCAAACGGAAGTCTTGTCAACGTGTAGAAGTATTGCAGCTCGCACCATGACCCGGCTGTCAGATCGCTCACTGAAAAGGGCTTCTTGGGAAATGACCGAAAGCGTACGAGCGGCGAGCGCGTGTCTGGGTCGGCAACAGAACGGGTTCCTGTTTGCGTTGGGGCTTGAGGGGCCACAAAGGCGGATAATGCTTTGCCGACTAGACGCTTCGGGTCAGTCAGTTTCAGTGGAATACTGTCGCGAGGTATGGTGACTCACGATCGGGATAGCTGACAACTTGGTCGTCACGCAGAGCCCTCTCGAGGGCGCTCGGTGGTTCTGCCAGGCTGCCTGTGGACCACGACTTGGGGTCCTTGGCCCACGCACCAGATGGACGCTTGAGCGCGAGCCCATGGCCAGCCTGGGCGTCGTGAAATGCATGATCTGGTTGAGACCGTGGCGGTGTTTCTACCTGGTTCGGAATAATCGCCGACGCAATGGGTACAATCGGCTGCGTTGTGGTGTGGTCTGTGACCAGCTGGCTCAGGAGTGTCTCCTCTTCCAGCGAAAATTCGTAGTCACTGTCATCATCCAGCGTTGGAAGGGACGCCATGTCGAGACAGATTCAAGACCATGTCGAGGGGATCGAGTCCGTCGAGTGGGCCGTTCGACGCACGTTGCGTCACGACTTGTGCGAGACGGTGGTACTTATCATGGAGGGGCAATTGAGACGCGCCTGGGTGATGACGGGTGTTGCCTGACACGAAGTCACGTGACGTGCTCGGCGTCTGCTGCCTGATTGACACCACCAGTCCGCCTACATGACCCATGCTCTGCTGAGGCTGCGCCTTGTTCATGCCATCGACGCTGTTCCTGTCTGCCAATCAGGCCCGTCAGACAGCATCCTCGAAGGACTGTATGCATCATATTCGGCACGGGTATCGATCCTTCTTGCCATAAAGATGCAGGCAATATCGGGCTTCCTGTGGAGACCACGCGTCAGATGTTGCAGTAGCTCTGCATTGTGCTCCCCACGGCATCCTTCCCATAATTCCTCCAACCGGAGCAGCACTATAAGAGCGATGCAGTGGAAGGGGATCCCATGAAGATCGATTCCGGATCGGAAGCACGACTTGCAGCTATGAAGGACCTGGACCAAATATGAGTACTTGTGAGAGAAAGTTGACACGACCGAGCGTGCATGGCTGTCCAACAGGCGGCACGATGGCTGCAATTGACTCACAGTGTACAATCCCCGGCTCTGAGCAAGACGATGCCACGAACATCAGAATCCGGGGGAATGAGCTTTGCCAAGCTATACGTGGAACTGCATTAGCAGCCGCCCTTCCGGAGAACGCTATTCAATGCCTTGTGTCATGGGGCGAACCTCGGAACGATGGCTTGACCTCACGCACCGTCGCTGAGTGGGAACTCGAGACGAAATGTCTCGAGTCGAATAACACTTTCAAGCCCATCCGAAGTGTCGCTCTGGGTGTCGCCATTCTACGTCGGAAAGGCCAAGACGACCAAGCGCGGCCCTTGTATGATATTGATCTCGCTTGGCGCCTCATTCAACAGGGTCTCTCTGCCGACGCTGGCGACTCTCAGATATGGCGTCTCTCGATGTCCTCGCATGGCTTCCTCGGACTGAAAATCTACGAAAGTGCTCTGAATGAATCTCAAGAGCGGGTCGAGATCCGCGTGTTACTACCAGGCCCTCAAAGAGTTCATGGTAGGCCGATCCGCTCCGAAAAGCTCTATACGCAGAATTTTGTCCTTGCTAGCAAAGGGGCTATATGCTCATACCAGGTCGAGGAGACATCCGACCCGAGTCTTGCCACACATCACATCGGCACCAGTAGTGGCACGAAGCATCATAACCAGGTACTCCCGACGGGCAACACGGGCGTCATGGTGCGCGCCTCGCCAGTACCTCAAGACCTACACAGTCACAATGCTGTGTACTCGATTGCTGCAGGAGAATACCACGCCACGATCGTCCCTCCTGAAGAGTTCCATGCCACATTATGCTACCATGACTCCAGCCGCGGGTCCTCGCAAAATGCTGCCAGCCTTGTGCCGACTGGCGTCGAAGCTCGCCCACCAACCCAAGTTCCCGATGGACTCACACCTGCTCTCCTGGCTCAAGCCATTGGTGCAACGCGTTCCTGGGTCAGCCGTATGACGAGTGGCAAGAAGCACGCTCGACAGGCTGAGTGGGAGTGGGCTCTCCGTGACTTCAGCTATGCTCTTTCGATATGTGACGCATTCGCCTCTTTCGCCCACGCAAAGATCTATCGATGCCGCGTCTTAAAGGAACTGGGCCTGGCCAATCGATGTATTGGGCGCTACGAGCAGGCCATGGCATTCTTGCAACAGGGGCTGGTCGAGAACGGGGACGAAGCCACCCAGGAGCTGATCATCCTCAGCGGCGAACTCGGCGTTGTTGCACGGCACATGGGGCGTCTGGACGAGGCCTCAAAAGCGTTTCAGCTTCAGTATGACGCGGCGAAAAAGCTGCAGTGGAAGAAGCCATTATGCCGCGCCGTTGGGAACTTGGGCATGACTAATTTCCAGCTCTCACAACAGCGTCATGACGGTCGACTGCTGGACTTGGCCATCGCTCAGTTGAATGAACGTGTCCAGCTGGCGCAACATCTGGGCGAGGTCGCTGCTGACGGTGTGAGCCCGGCAAAGGCAGCTTCTCGTCGACAACTGGCTGTCACCTGGGAGTCTATCGGCCAGTCTCGCCTCTCGCTCTGTTTTGCAGCGCAAGGCAACACACAGGCAGCCGTCGACGCCGCACATGCCGCCCTCAAACTTTCTCACACGCTCGAAGACCCAGCCGTCATGGCTCTCTCGAGGTTTTTCTATGGACGGGCCCTACTATTCCAGGGCAGGGTGGAAGAAGCTATGGCGCAATTCAACCTACCGAGCGCCTGTTCGTGCGCCATTGCACTCTGCAAGGAGCCTTCCAGCGACAATTATGAGTACTTGCGCGAGCTTGTAGACGTGGGCGCCAACATGGATCTCGTGGACAACCAAGGCTATACAGCGCTCGATCACTCCGTGTTTAACAGCGATGCAGCCATGGAAGACCTTGTCCTCGAAGGCCTTCGCCGTCAGCTTGGGGACCATCGGCAGCCTGAGTTTGCCAGGCTGCAAGTGGAGGCTAAGCTCCGGAAAGGATACCGCGAGCTCTTCCAAGAGAAATTGAGACCTGTACTACTGTCCAACGGAGGTGACGCCACCAAATCACTGCGATCACTGCGGCACACATATGACGAGAGCTTGTCCTCAGATGGAGAGAGCGGCCGTATGTTTGACCGTCTCAAGGTTTTGCGATACACCGAGTTCCTCGCCTTTGGAAGACTCCCGCGATCAAACGACGGCCTCGTCTTGCCTCTGGTCTCTCGATCGACCCTCTCCCATCGACGACCAGACGCTGTTGACTTTGTCATCTTCATCTCTTACCGCTGGATCAACACGGAAAAGTCACGCGATTCGCCAGACGATGTTAACAACACGCAATTCGGGCGCATGGTCGCCGCTGTGGAGGCCTTTCTACGGTCGCACCCATCGGTCGAACCCTCGCGCCTCGGGATCTGGCTCGACCATAGCTGTGTGGACCAGGACGACCCGATGCCAGGGGTTTCTGCGCTGCCGATGATCGTGGCCCAGTGCAACGCCGTCATCAGCCTGGTCGATGGACAGTACTACGAGCGCGCCTGGTGCTCGGTAGAGGTGATGATGGTGCAGCAGCTGAGGCGAGCGTATGGACTCCATCTGTGGTATGAGCACATTGAGACGGAGCGCGGTGCATGGGAGTTGCGCGAGGGTGCGTTGGGCATGGAGATTGTCATGGCGGAGAAGAAGCTGACTTTCGAGTCGGATCGGCCCAAGGTGTTATTTCTGGAAAGACAGAGCAAGCTTCTGGGGTAGGCGTAGGACAGCATTCGACGACATTCACGAACTCGTTGTCCGAGTAGTGGTAGAAATAAATGGCATATAGATGATGCACCCATTCTCTGGTCAGGCCAGCCCAAAGATTTCACCTGGCTTGACTAGGCAGCACATCGGAGAGACAACACATTTACTTAACACGAACTGCCACAATATTGATGCCATCGTCCATCGCCAATGACCCATGTTCCTCATCGCCACTCAATAGTGCTCAGCCAGGGCTGTCAGCATTGGCCCCTGCACTCGCGCGACGCCTCCCGCAGGCAGCCAGGATTCTGAAAGGGGCCACGACTTCAGTCACCGCCTGGCGTAGCAGGCAGCAGTACGATACAAAGCGAATGTCATCGCATGCAGCAGGGCATCAGGTTGTTTGCATCTCTTCCCGCAATACCTCGGCCGTCATACGCCATATTCTTGTTTCCCAACATCAAATTTGACTGCCGTCGCCATGACCCTCATCCTACGAGCTGGGCCAGCGCCATCCCCACCACCCTCCACCTCATGCCCAACCTCATCCTCACACCCAACCCGGGCATCACCACCACCGCAGCCGACACCACCCCAAGATCCAAGCACGACGCAGGATGACGGCGAAAGCAAGCACCCCCCCTCGCCAGAAGACCCGCCTCCCCCGCCGCCGACGCTGCCAACCCTGCCGCCGGAGCTCCAGTCGCTCATCACAGCACACCTCTCCTACCCGGACGCCCTGTCGCTGAAGCACACGAACCGCCACTTCTTCCAGACGACGGACACGGGCGTCCGCCTCAAGGTCGCCTGGCTCCTCGAGCGCCGCGACCAGCGCCTCGCGTGCCCCTCGTGCGGCCGCGGCTGCGACCTCGCCAGCGACCTGCGCTTCTGCCGCGGCGGCGTCGGGCGCGTCATCCGCCGGCGGCGCATGCACGGCGAGTGCGAGAGCCGGGCCGGGCTCGGGTGCGTCGTGTTCGGGACGGGGCGGTGCGAGCGGCGGCGGAGACGGGGAGGGCGCCGGTTGTCCTTGGGCGGCATGCGGGCTTGGGCTTTTCTTGTGCCGGTTTTGGCTGTGCTCTGGGCATTTCTGAGAGGCGTGTCCTGCGGTGCGTCGTGACGACTGGGGGTAGGGATGACTTGGCTTTGGTTACATCCACCAGGTGGACTCAGGCGAGGATGTACGTCAGGAGTTTGGGTGGGAGAGCGCAGAGCTCTAGTCAAGCTTGGTCGAGGCCATGTGTTCATAATCATGTTCATAAATTTATTCATGGGTTCTGTACACCGGGCTGAAGAGGGCATATATGCCATGATTTTGTTGGTCATGTTTCCCTGTCGAGGCTCGATTCTGCAGCCGCAGCTAGGATGCCTGCTCCTTTGATACCACCGTCATGGCAAGGACTCAGCACAATGCGCACAGGCGGTTTGTCTCCCAGATCTCTTTCTACCAGCTCGTCGAGAAAGCGCTGTGTGTCGTACAGGTAATCTTGGAAATGCGCAATGCAGCCTCCCGTGTACCCGACACCCAGCTCCCTGGGTTCCTCAGCGCCGCTGCTGTCGCCTGTCTCTGGTATATCACCGGCCATGCGAAGGAGCGCCACCACAGCAGCAGACACGATGCCTGCCGCACGGACTTCGATTGCCTTGCTCATGTGATAGAGCGCCGTGGCCATGTCGGTCGTCCATCGGAAAGGCGCCTTGCTTGGGAACTCAGTCTCCAACCGAGAGACCAGCACTTCTGGGTCCAGGGGTCGGAAGTGGCTCAGAAAGGTCGTCGTCATGCCATGGCGCGTCAACAACGCGCTGGGCAACGCCGAGATATCGACACCCAGACGACTATCGAGATAGTCTAGCAGCAGGAGTCGCCCCAGCTCACCCAGGTAGCGCCCTGCTGTCATGTACTCCAGCGGCTGGAAACCAGGCATCTCGCCAGCGGCATCGAGAGCCTCGTCCCACCTCGTTATGAGGCCGAGTTTCTGGAGTGGCGGTGCAGAGCCCTTGATACTCCACTCCGTGTTGACAGCGATGCGGACCTGCTCCGGGGCCTCGCCCGGGAGCAGGCTGATCCTTGCAGGTCGTTTGCTTTCGTGGAGGGCGGCGAGCTTCAGAGGGATGGTTGCGTTGCAGCCCGTGCCTACAATGAGACCCATGGCTGCTTTCTTGCGGCCGTCCTCGCCGTATAGGTAGTTGAAGGAGACGAGCGTCGAGACCGAGTCATTGGCTATGGCGGCGATGCGAATCGGCGGCAGCCCTCGTCGGGACTTGTTGTAGCCAGTCAGTAACAGAGATCCAAGCTCGACATCGCCGTGGATGGCGAACCCCTTGCCCATGGCTATGATAGAGGCTTCATTGAGGGACCGCTGGACCATGGGAAAACTAAAAGTGATGCCCAGAGGGATCGGCTCGTCGGCGGCAAGGGCCCACGCGCGGCAGCCTTCGGTGACGACAGCAGCGATGCATTCGCCAATCCAGTCGAATAATTTGGTATCGTTCATGCTCTTGAGATGCTCGGCGATGGGCCACGACTGCTCTTTGAGGCGGGCGACACGGGTCGCGCCGTTGGACACGCCCTTGGAGGCCCCATTGGTCAGACCGTGACCCCCCTCGCGCGAGACAGCCTCCTCTGGCGACAGTTCGATGAAGCCCACTCTGAGGTTGGAACCGCCACTGAGAGAGTGAGTATGGTCAATGTCACCAAGGGCGAAGTGCTCACATGTCAATAGCAAGATGTCTACAACGGGGTTAGCTTGTGGCAGGGTGACAGGGTGCAGCTTCATGCAGGCGAAGACCAGCTCACCTTCCGTGGCCACTCTTGCTGACAGGTTTCAGAATGGATTCGGAGATGGGCGTGGGCAAGAACTGAGCAAGGTCATCAGCCGCGAGATGGATAAAGTTGTGGTAGAAGGCCTTTGATAGGGTGTGTATTTTATCAAGGTCGACATGGAGTGGTTGTAGGAAGTCCTGCAAACTCAATCGGGTATCAGAACTCATTGTCATGGTTCGCACATGGGTCTCGTGTACTTAAAGGCGACGTATCTGCGTATGGTCGCAATGCTAGGTGGTCTACGTCGTATCGACAGGGCCATCAAGCACTTGGTAGTGCGATGCGGTGGTTGACCTCGGTGAAAGACAGCTTCAACCAACCAATACAACAACAATGGTTGTCCAATGTGAGCAAGGTGGCAAGGCTGAGAGGCGTTGGTAAGGGTATAGCGCTCCGAATTGAAGATGAGGCTCAACGCGAGGATGTGAGCCGGCGATGACAGGGCCACGATTGTGTTCCACGATTGGAGTCTGGCAGAATGCCTCGGTGAGGTGGCGTGAAGGGAGATTTCGTCCTGTCGACGATCGTGAAAGATGCGGGATATCCCAAGTCAGGATAGCGATATCCCAGGGAGGAAAAGGATGATGACGGCACGAAATCACCGACGTGGCATGGCGATGAGTTGCAGTCTGTGAAACGAAAAGAGCCGAGCCTTCTTTGTTTCTTGTCTCCCACAACCCGAACACTTGGTCGTGTTCGTCTGATGGGGGACTGTAACGTGACACGAGCGAGGGTTTGACGATCCATGAACAATGACAGGCAGTTACAGAGACAGAGCCAGTGGCAGTGGCAGTGGCCGGCACAGGCAGGCACAGGCAGGCACAGCAACAACACACCCTTGCATCCTTGGCCCTCGTAGCTGAACACGGGGCTGAACACGGGCTGCCAAGGCACTTAACGTGCTACGTGCGGCAGATGAAGCAGGGGGGCTGTACAGTGGTACTTCTGTCACGGCGCCTGGGAACCGCGATCAGATGTACCGCCCCATCGCCCATGTGCGCCGCGTCGTCGTCGTCCCAAGCAAATCATCCACACCTAATCCCACCACTCCCTCACCAGGAATCTCTCGGGGCCTGAGATTGCTGACTCTCCACACAACCATCATACTTGCATTGTTTTCTGCGACAAACTTGCACTTCAGGGCCCGTCTCCGTCTTGCATCTTTTTTTCCATCCAACCCCCATCCATCCGCCCTCACCACAGCATGCGTATCGACTCGTCGCGATACCGCTACCTCGACCAGCAACAGAAACCCAAGCACGTGTCCGCCGGCCAGACCACGCAGCCGCCCCTGTCGTCGCCCATCCCTGCCGACGAGCCGCCTTGCTCCCTACCAAGCAAAGAACAGCCATACGTCACGATGGACGAGAAGCGCGGCTTCTTCTCCGGGACCCGATCCTCTCGCCGCGCCCGTCCCCTCATCATCATCATCCTTCTCGGCATCCTCGGCTACAACCTGTGGCAGTATTTCGGCATCACGTCGAGGATACGCATCGACAATGACAAGGCCGCCGCCGCAAAGACCGCCGCCGCACCCGGCAAGGCCGCCGACGCGAACAACGGCGCCGGCCTCGCCAGCAAGGTCAACAGGCTGGTGCCCTTGGAAGCGCACATCATGAGCAAGTGCCCGGATGCACGGGTACGTCGTTGCAGCCAGTCTTGGGGATGGAAGGGCCCGCCCAGTCATGATACCAAACACTAACATGCTATCGTGTGAAGGACTGCCTGCGAGACATGGTCCTGCCGGTGATGATGCGCGCACATGACAAGGTGGACTGGAAACTGTCTTTTGTCGGAACGTACGTCTAGACTACTGTCCGCTCCCCTTTCCTCTCTCGCACGCCTGACTGACTCTCCTCCGTAGACCGACCGAAGATGACGGCGTCGACTGCCGTCACGGGCCTTCCGAATGTATGTTTTCTCCCTCTGTATCTCCCTAGACCTCACTTGGGGGGAGAGAAAAGAGAAGGCAAAGGAGAAAAAAAAAACTGACTCGCATATACCAGGCATGGGCAACATTATCGAGCTCTGCGCGGCGAAGCTCTACCCCGACCCCAAGATCAGCCTCGGCTTCACCATGTGCATCACGCGCTCGTATCGCGAGATCCCCGACCAGAGCCTCATCGAGGCGTGCGCCCTCGAACACGCCATCGACATCAAGGTGCTCAACGAGTGCGCCGTCCGCGAAGACGGCGCCTACGGCGTGGGCCTGCTGCGTGACAGCGTGACGCGCACGGCCGAGGCGGGCGTCACCCTCTCGTGCACGGTGCGGCTCGACGACGAGGTGTACTGCATCCGTGACGGCGGCGAGTGGACGCAGTGCCCGTTCGGCGCCGGCGTCAACGACCTCGTCATAGCGATTGAGAAGAAGTACCGGCAGCGGGCCGTGGCGGCTGCGGATGCGCGGGGGGAGGACGTTGTCTGACGGCAGGGCGCAGAGGCGCGAAAATCTCGGTCCATAGTTCGCTGGCCTCGCCCAGCGTGTAGCTCAACGCCAGGCGATCCATGCCTGCTTCCTCGTCGCTCGCGTCCATGGCGCCCAGTGTCTCCATGATGCTCTCGTATCCGACCGCCTTGCCCGTCGCCTGCGTCGCGCCCGCCTCGAGCTGCACGTGCACAATGTGCACGTGAAAGTGGTGGTACGTCGGCTGGTAGTGCACGTACAGCTTGAGCTGGTCGTCGTCGATGCTCGGGTACTGCGCCGTCGTCGCCTCGACGAGCCGCGCCCGCATGTGCCGCAGCCAGGGGAGGTGGCGGCGGCGCAGATCGCGCAGCGACCAAATGTCGCGCCGCTCGACGAGCGCCAGGAGGTGCAGCGCGTCGAGCGTCTTGCGGTCCCAGTTGAGGTCCGGCAGCAGCAGGAACCCCTCGTCGCCGGCGGCGCCCAGCGGCGTCCTGTAGATGACGTCCTCGACCTCCTTGCGGCCCTCGATGATGTTGTAGACCCAGTTCAGCCGGCCCTCGTCGCGCTTGCGCTGCATGTACGGCCGCACGTGGTCGCGGTAGATGTCGGCCGTTTCCGTGACGAGCCGGACGGGCTGCTTGCTGTACTTGGCCACGTGCGTGCTCGTGCAGGGGTAGATCAGGTTGATCTTGAGGTCGGCGAAAAAGTCGGCGTCGGCGTCGTCCGTCGGCGTCGACGGCACGATGCCGCTCCGGGCGAGGAACCAAAAGTATATGTCGTTGGCGCCCAGGTTCTTGAGGCTCGAGAGCGCCGCGGGGGTCTCGCCGAGGTAGGCCGTCGAGACGGGAAAGGGGGCGCGCTCGAGTATGAGGAGCGCCGGTTTGTCGTCAATGCTACCAAGAAGACTTGATCTGCGGCCGGCCTGGTCTTTGAGGGCAAAGTCAGTCAACCTTGATCGCAATTCAGATGGGGGAGGAGGAACACAGGGCGGTGACCTTGGTTGAGGAGGCGCTCCAGCTTGAACCGGGGCAGCAGGGCCTCTGCGTGGGTCTTGGCTTCGGCCATTTTGTCGAGACACGATGCCGTTGCTCTTGAGCTGCAAGGGGAATGTTGACTGTAGGAGAGCTCTGGGAGAACCTATCGCATGGTGATGATGTTGCTGGGCTCTTGTCGCCAAATTGGCCTACTTCGTTTGCCCCGCAGTTTGGCAGCAGCACGATCGCGACCCCGCGGTGGGGTCAGGGTCTTGGCTTTGATCACACTTTCCTCCAGACTACCTGATCAGGATGCTGAAGGCTTCGGCCATGCTTGAGCCATGCATCAAACGGCTTGGCAAAGCATCAGCAAGACTGTGCGTTGAAGACCTTGTGGAACACATTGAGTAAGGGAAAATAAGGTATATTTTCCAAGAAAAAGACGCCAGACCCAGATCTACGGTCATGTCATTCTCGGCACCCAGTGCGCCAGAGATGTACTTTGAAAATCAATCAACTCCTCATCCCAGTGGTTTGGTTGTTGCGTTGGCAACCCGTTTCTTTCCCATGTCGTCCCCTCAGCTATGGCATCGACAGAATTTTGCTGCGCGATCTTGGTCACCGCCCCCATTGCCTCTCCCAGCTTTTTAAAGTCCTATCCCCACCTCCCCATCATGAGCTGTTCATACCGTTGAATGGACGCTATGCTGTGTTCAATATTCCAAAGAAAAATGCAAACAAGTGACCAAAAAGCTGTGAATCATGTGAAACATGCGGTTGCGAACAGCTGCAGGCGAAGCTCGTTTGGGAATTCAAATGCCCCATCCTCGGCGGCGTCCGGCAGGCCTCGCGAAATTGCCAAGCCGAAGATACATTGCAAATAGTGCCTTCGAGCGAGCCGAGTCCCGTCGACCAGAAGCTGGGCAGCCAGCGAGCTCAAACAGCCGACCGCCTCATCATCCTCGTTGATCGATATTGAAGTTTCGGTGGAGGGATTTCCATGTCCTCGACACCCTCGTCGTCGTCAGCCTCGAGCGGGTCGTTGTCAGCTTCCAACTTGACATCTGGTGCGACTACTTTGGTGGCGACGACTGGGACTGGCTTCTCCGCCACCAACATGTCATCAACCTCGAGCTTCATGGGCGATGAGGCGGGTGTCGTCCGGTCTTTGACCGGCGTCAGCTCTCGTCTCATGCTCGCTGGACGGAGAGTTCGTGCTTTGCCCGCATCGCCTGATTCTTTGAGGAGTGCAGGATCTTCCCGCTCAACTCGTGCCATCTCTTTGTCAGCCAGAACCTTGCTATCTGATAGTCGTTTCTTGATCTTTCCAATCTCCTCTGTGCAGTCTCCGTCCCGAAGGAACTGGTGAGCAGCGTGCTCACACATGGACTGGACGAATTCAAGACCCTTATCCAGATCGTCGTATGCGTCCTTTTCTTGCTCTCCGAGAAGACCACCGGGGGAGTTTCGAGAATATGGCGAGGAACCAGGAAGGCGAGGTCCGCCGCCCATTCGTCGTGTGCTCATATACCTGAGTGAGGGCAGAGGATCGTTGTTCTCGCCATCGGCTGCGGACCCTGGCTTGAGTTCACCCGTACCGTCCTCGTCATCCTCGGGTGACTGGAGCTCGGCGAGCCGTCGGATCTGAGCCACCTTGGCTGCCATTTTGGCTTTTCGCATCAGGTTACGGCTGGCGGACACAAATTTGACCAGCTCCTCGAAGAAGCTTTGCACGTAGCTGTCGTAGTAGACGATAATCATGGTGCGTGTTCGGTACTTTGCTGGAGCGTTATCGGCAGAAATGATCGAGTCGGTGCGATGTCGCTTTTTGACCTGGGCTCTGGCCCGAGCCTGGGCGACGGCTACGGCCTGCTGCGTCTGTCGCTGGATGGCCGACGGGGTGTTGCTGCCATTTGGGCTCGGCGGTTGTGCTGCGTCCTGCTTGTCCTCTCGTGGTGGCGTCGTTTCCCTCGCATCGCCGACTTGATCGGCGTCACGAGAAACATCGGCATCCGCCACGTCCTTGGGCTTCAAAGACTCGGTGGATCCACGGTTCTTGATAGACTTGGTCGAACTGACACCCAATGCCGCGAGCTCGGCTTGCCGCTGGTCAATCTGGGTACCGAGGTCGTCGAGTCGCTTGAGCCAGTCGGGCACGTTGGCGATGATATTTTTGAGGGCGTCCATGGTTAATGCCCTTGGATCGTCCCTAGCCCGTGGGGTCGCCGTTTTGTTGGTGTGGGGGAGGTCGTTAGGTGAGTGCCAACCTAACGCCTCGAGTTGGAAGAAGGTCGGGCGGGACGAATTCGAACCGAGTACAGAGGTTGGCTTATGATCGAGTCGGATTGACCAGAAGGGCCGCAACAGAGGATTCGTAGGAGGTTGTTGATACTGGGTAAGATTGGTGCTGCAGGTGCTGACGCTGGAAGAAGTGAACTATGTCGAAAGAAACGAGGTCGGGATCGTCAGGATCATGGGTGAGGCATGACGCGGGTTTTTCGCTGGCACAGATTTGCTGGAAGGACGAGGTGTCTCTGCTTGTGAAGGATATTGTGCTGTGAGACAGTATGGCGGGCGGATGGCGGGATGCGCAGGGGCACTACTGTCAAGTGTCGTTAGGTATATACGACCCAACGCAATGAACCTCGCTGGGGAGATCGAGAGGCGAGGGCTCGTTGCGAGGTGGATCGCTCGTTGCGTCAGTGCTGATCAATGGTGCGGACGCTTGCTGGTCCTTGTTGTCAGATTCGGGCAGTAAAGAACCAGTGGTGTTTGCGCGAACGTGTTTGTCCGTGTCAGACTCGTGGAAGAAGAAAAGTTGTGGGCAGGTTGAGGTGAGAGGAGAGATGGTGCCGGACAGAGAGTGCATCAAAATCAAGGACTTGCCCTTCTGCCCTTCTCTAAATCGGGCGCCGGCGCCAGTACTTTAGTTGCTTGCACCCGTCTGTGGAGTGGACCGCCGACTGGAGTGGACGGGAGGGCAGGGATGGGATGGGGATGGGATGGGCGTTGGGCCTGGAGTTAACGGGGACGGCCGGGGCAGGGATGCTGCTTTGCTGGCGGCGGGGCTCCGGGGCCTTCTCAGGAGTCGCCAGGACTGAGAGGGCGCTTGTCCTGTCAGAAATGGTTTGGGGGGGAAGAGGTCGTCAAGCTATGGCCAAAGGACCACACTAATGCCGCTCGGGACGGTTCCCTTGCGCTTGCCCTGCCCTGCCCACTTGCCCGCCTACTGCCCGCCTACTGCCCGCCTACTGCCCGCGCCGTGCCTCCCCCCATTCGTGGCCTGCCTACATCGCTCTTGGCCGTCGTGTGCTTCCATCACCTCGTGAGGGGTGTTAGCACAGTGTGGACTGGGTAGTTCCCAAGGCACTTAGGTAGGCACCCAACGTAGGTGACGACAGGTACTTTTGCATTTGAATCTATGGTGTGTGAGGCCTGGAGTACCTACCCGTAGGTAGCAGGTGATACATCCGGATAGTGGGACACGCAATCAGGGTCCGATGACGATGCCCAGGTCAGCATCAGTAACAGCATGAGCGTGAGGAATGTGTCTTCCGTTGGAGCTGGTCTCTGACGAAAACTCTTTTTCTTTCGGTTCTCCGATTTATTTCGCATCTTGCTACTTCTCCACCGTCTTGCTCGCTTGCTGAGCAAATTAACCACTCTGCCGCCCGTTGCAACATGGGACACTAATATCGAGGATCGACAAGGCGGTTTGAAGTGCTGCACGCCACCGCATCTCAACTTGGAAGCTTCGTCGAACACAGTACGGGAGCAGTGGAGCACGGCCAATGAACGGCAGGTGGAAGGATGGTGGGTGGGAAGGGGAAGGGCCTACCCTGGGTACTAACCGGCCAATGTGCCCGTGGAGAGGGAAGCAAGACCACCCGCGTTTGCAATCACGACGGTCCTCATAAGGTCAAGCTGTCGACCTGTTAATGGTCCCAGTAAGTCAATAAAAGTGAACACAGAAATAGACAGGAGTGGGTGTTTGTGTGTCAAGCGTCGAGGCTGAGAGGATGGGTGGGCAGGCACAGTCTTCACAGCCAACGCAACAAGGCACCTAGCTAGGTACCTAGCGAAACTCCTGCGAAAGGAGGCAGGCGTACAGGCAAAAGAGAGAAAGAGAGACCACCCCGGCCCATGTCTCACCAGCATCGTCTCGCCCAGCGTCCCTCCCCCCCCATTTCTGCCCCTCCCCTGTTCCTCCCCTGACCAGAGCCGAATAGGTACATTGGTTAGGCATCCCGCTTCATTCGAGAAACCCCCAGGACCCTGAACATGGTCTGTCCATGACCGGTCGGCCTGACATCCTGATTGCTGAGTTCTCTTCCTCCCGTGTCCTGCCTCGTATGGCCCCCCTCCTTCTCCCCCCTGATCGCTCCCCCAACACGACCCAGAAGTCTCGTGACGATGACCAGAGACAAGGGGCCGCGCCGCTTCGACAGCTTGTCTTCCGCTGCGATGCATCCAGAAAGTCAATCAAATTCGACCAGGCCAGCCCTCGGGTGTGGCTGGAGCCAGAAGTGACGCCCCTCGCCGCCTCCTAGCCTCTTCAGTCCTGACGACTTCTTCCGGCAATCTCGGAAACATTGGAACCGACTGTCGAGATGATCATGACTGGCCCTAGACGTCTGCAGCCGGGCAGGTAAGTCAGCGTGCGCAGTGCCAGATCAGACGCCAGAACAATCAGACTGATGCCTCGCATTTCATCGCCCATCTCGGATAATTGCCATGTCGTGCCTCGCTTGTGGCCTACCAAGTGTTGGACGATGACAAGGCCTCTTTCCCTCTTCGCTCCACCCCAACACCCGACCCCCCCATGTCGGCCAGTTTGCCATGTTTGGCTGGATACAGACCGCTCCCACGTTGGCGCATCCCCGTACCGCTGCAGCCACGTTGCCAGCCTGTCACGACGCCGTACAGACGAAGGAAGCCCGCCGCCGCAAGGCCACATGAATCGTCGTCCATCGGTCAGTGGCACCATCGCTCCAACGTCCGCGCGCGAGGTACACAGCACTGAGCATGGAGAAATCGCCGTTCAGCCGACAATGTTGCCCAAAGTTGTCAATGTGCGCCAACCCAGCCTGCTCGTTCGCTGCCATGGCGAGCATGGCATCAAGCCAAGGACACATTACACATAGGACGGCAATTCTTGACAACCCGGCACCTCCCCGCTTCATCCGCCAACCCGCGCGTGACGCAGCCCGTTGTCACCTTCTCTCGTCGTGAACTCACCACTAACGTGCTGTCTGTAGTGCCCGGCGAATGATGGGCAGGGCATCCGTTGGCTGCTCGCAAGCGCTTGCGTTTTGATGACCAGCCACTCCACTATATCGATCGTCGTGCATTGACATGGCATCGCCGTGCATTCAAGAAACACTGGCGTCCGAAGAAGCCCCCGATGACAAGACAGGGCTCTTCGTCGCTCTGTCTCAGCCAACGGTTTGCCTACCTTCAACAATGCCCTACATAGTCACTGAGTACAATCAGAACATTGCCAAGGCCGGCCCCGCGCACTGATAATACTCCTCGGCCTCCTCGGCAGATGATATCAGGAAATGAAGCGTCGGCAACACGAAGCTTTTGTGTGCGAAGAAGAGCACGCGGGTAGGAACACTAAAATGCCGGCGCTGGCGCGAAGCCTGATGATCGCCCTGCCCACTGCCGAGCCACCCTGGCTAATTGGTTCACGCCATGTTACGACTCTTGCCCAAGCCTTTTTTTTTTTTAGGCCGCAAGCAAAGGCTATCCATATATGGTAGGTTGTCCACTAGCAGCAGCCACAGGGTGACCCTCAATTGTTTAACCCCGATTCGAAATGCCCGAGTCACGATGGGACAGTGTGCCTATCAACAGCACAGCCGTTTGACATTTTCAAATTCTGGCGGAACTCCGTTTCTCTTGTACCGTGATATGCCAACCCACGCATGACTCTGCTTCCACGACACGTTGGTATAGGTATCGTGTCGAGCGAACCTGAGCTCGTCTGCATATTCTTGGCTCCTCCACCTCGAAGCATACTTCGAGTGGCTGAACCTGGGCCTCTCTCCAGTCGTGTTATGCTGCTTTCTTTCGCTCCTGGTGCTATCAGGACAGGTTTCCTGCATATCCGGGATGCGCAGTCCTTTGGTCCACTATTCGAGCTTGGGTGCATAGAATGGCCTGCGCCTTTCTTTTGTCTCAAGGACAACCCTCCAGAAACCAACTTCTCAGGGACCTCGGTTCTAAACACCGAGTCATAATGGCTGTACTTCACGACGGAGTGGCAAGGTAATGCAGCATGGTCAAGCACTTCAGTCCGGTCGATGCTCGGTCAATATGAGCCGACATTTGCATCGGCTTTCTCACTCCTGCGAAATCCCGGATCTAGATACGCCGAAGATACTTCTCTATCAGGAACGATCAGCATCGTATCCCTCATCTAGGTGGTTTCAGAACCTTGACGACTTCAACAGTACTTTCCACCAGCACGGGATCACCATCTTTGATCAGCGCAAGTGTTACTTCTCCAACAGCCCTGGTCAGGATCGGTCATGCACCGAACGATAATATTGCGGTGCCTGATTCTGTTCGTGATCTGTAGCGGAGTTGCACCGCTTCACAAGGCCAACTTGCCAACTGCTCGAGCGAAACATCATGCTCAGCACTGGTCAAGCAACCGCAACAGCATAAACGACGGTGCACGGTGACCATTATAGCGCGACACCGTCTCCGGACTTGCATGCTCGGTACCTGCAAGATTGGGGTACATCACACGCCTAACAAAGCTTGTTGCACCAGCTCGATTGTCTGTTCACTTGCCATTTTGGGCCCAGAACAGCATTGTTCAACGTCAGCCTTGAATCGGGAACGCAAAACTGCCGCATGTGCATCTGAACTGTGATCGCCTCATGTCTGAGACACACATTTATGTACGTCGAGAAAAACATGTAGCCACTGCTGGACAATGACTCGAAGTCAAGCTGAACATCAAACAACAGGCTGCGCCTGTGAGTTGCTCGCTTCGGAACGGCGTCAGACAGCCACGGACGACATGATGAAATCATCATGGCAGTCCAGTGCCCCAATTGAAGTCCTGTTGCTTTGATCGGCCCTTTCCCTCCAACATCAGAGACACGCCTCACATCTGACATTTGAGCCCGAAGCTTGCGCGTCTTTGCCCACTTGACAGGTCTGGTGCTCCC